AGGAGGAGGAGGAGGAGGAGGATGCGGGCGCAGGGGGTGCCAGGGGCCGTGCTGGGTGCCGGGAGCCGCCTCCGGCCCAGGCTCAGCTCGGCCCTTGCCTCGGCTGGTCCCGGGGCCGTGGCGGAGCGCTGGCGGCCGCTTCCTGGAAACTTCGGGTGTGCGGCTGCACGCGGGGCCTTTGGCTCCCGGTGACCGGGGGGCCGCGGGCTCGGGCGGTCCCGGCCCCTCCCGCGGCCGTGATCCGTGTCCCCGCAGGCGGGGGGGTGTTTCTGCTGCAGACCCTCTAGGGCTTAATGAATTGCTCCTTCGTGTCCTGAACTGAGCTGGAACGGTGTTGTCCTGGTTTCAGGGGGATGTCATGACTGAAGGAGAAGGGAAATCTGGTGCTTCAGAGGTGGGGAAGGGTCCTGGAAGGCTCCGACGGGCTTCGCTGGGAAATGGTGTCAGTTCGTAAGCGGGGTCTGGTAACGGGATCCCGAGGGCCCGCTGCGGGGCGATGCCCGGGGCGCTGGAGGGTTGTTGGGTGGGAGATCAGGCCCCACCAACCAGGCGTTGGCATCGCCCGTAACTCACCGCTTCCTGCGCCCGGTGCCGCGCTGGCGCCTGTCCCCTTTCCATAAGGGATGTTGTCTGCGGCTCCCCCTCACCGTGAGGCCCTCGGGGACTCACCTGCGCTTTTAAATGATGCTGGTTTTCTGTGAGGTCTTTGCCCTTCCCCTCAGGTTTAGTTTTGTGTCATTCCATCAGTTGGGGTCTCATACGGAAATATTTATGATTTGGAGTTTACAAAGTGCTGTATAAATAGTAAACGTTTGGTGCAAACTGAGCATTTCCTGGCCCTCCCAGAGTTCCTGAGCAGGGGAACCAAATACCCACATGCTGGTGGAGCTGCAGATGCTACTTTTATCCTTTTCCTATGGAAAAGTGCCGCAAGGAGGCGGCCAGTCGGTGTCCTGCGGGCAGTGGGAGGTGAGGGGACAGGAGCTGGACTGGGAGGAGCACGGTCTGGAGGGCGGTTTGGAGCAATCACAGTCGCCTCTGCCCAGAGGTTTTTGCATATCCAAGTGCAGTCTGAGGTCAGCTCGCCAGGAGATTGAGCTGGTTTGTGGGCTTTCAGCCCAGCCCGTGTAATTAAGGATGAGAGGGGGACGCAGGGGTTCCCCGGAGGTGTCCCGTGGTCTGGCACCGCAGCCCCGAGGGCCGGGGCTCATCCCGGTGCCGGCAGCACTCTCGGCTCTGTCTTACCCCCCTCATAAGCGGGAATCTCTGGGCTTTTATTACCAGCAGGAGGAAGAGAGAGTTTATGAGGCCTGGTCTGAATGTATTGGTATGGTTGAAGGTGCTTGGGAATCTGCTTTCTGTGTGCTTCCCCCCACCCACAAAAATAACCCCACAAAAAAGCAGTGAAATGTGCAGTGCCCACATAGCCCTTGCATCAGGGCAAGCGTGTTGCTTTAAAACAATCTCCTCTACCAAGGCAGCACGATTTCCCTCCTAGCAAACCCTGATACCCATCTCTGAAATGCTGGTGATGATAAACTCCGAGATCCTGACAGCAGGTTGACTGTTTTCTGCCGCCTCTACCTTTGCAGCTGCACCACAACTCTTGCACAACACTCGCTGCTCAGGGCCCCTCTCCCCTGCAGCTCTTCAGCTCAAAAATAGTATTTCCTCCTTTTCTGCATGAGATCTTCTATTTGTGCAGCCTCCGCTGCTGGCACCTGCGCGCGTCGCCCCTCTTCCACCGGACAGACCTCCCCGGGTTCAGCTCGTGTCCTTCGGGTAAGGGCCGCCTCCATCCCTGAGCCGTGGCGAGGGGACCCTGCCCGGGCGGGGGTGTCCCCCCCCCGCGGCTCTCGGTGCTGCTCTGGCTCCCAGCACAGGGCTGGAAGTGCCGGTGCAGCCGCGGTGCCACCAGCCCCGGCTGCTGTGGCTGAGGGAGCTCGGAGGGGACCCCCGGGCCCACCCCGGCGGGGGGGCAGCGGCCAGGGAGGGTCCGTGCCCGTGGCAGAGCTGGTGACACAGCTTGGCCCCGCGGCGATGGGTCATTGTTTTCCCTGCTGACTCGGCATCCTGGCTGCACAGATTTTCTGCTGGAGTTGCAGATTGTTTTCCATTTCCTGGGAGTGTGCTCGGGCTCTCTCTAGCGCGCAGTCTGCTTCGGGATTATTTTTTGTTACGGTTCCCAGGGACCTGGTGTCTCGTGTCAAACCCGTTGTGGCTACTTTGTCCCCTCTGTGGGCCGAGCTGTGGCACGGGCCTGCCCTGCGTTGCCGAGCTCTTGGAGGGCAGCTCGGTGGGACACAACCACCGCTGTGACAGGGACAGTTCGGGGCTGTCACTTGGAATCGGTCAGTCGCTGCCCCAGGGCATGCCAGTGGCCGTGTGCCAGGAGAGGTCTCGGAGCGGGGCCAGCGAGCGTTCGTTGGGCAGACTGAGTCCACCTGCAGCTCCCAGCTTTCCGAAGTCCTGCAGTTCCTTGCTGAGCCGTTTCGGTCCCGCTCCTGCTTGCTCCCAGGGCCGGGTGCTGACACCCTCCTCGTCACAGGCGTGCTGGGCGACGTCTGCGTCTGGCAGGTTCCCCACCCTGCGAACGCGCGGCGGGAGCCCTTTGACTTTGCTTTTGGGCGCTGAGCCGTGGGCTGTGGAGGCCTGGGAGAGGCAGCGGGAGGTTTGGGCAGGTTGGGAAATCGGAGCTGCAGTGGCTGTGGGATGTGATGTGGAGGAGGGAGCTGGGCAAGTAGTGAAGCCCCAGCCCCTCCTTGGAGCCTCGTGCACTTTCGCACCTTCCGAGCTCCCTGGCTGCGGTGGGCTGGCGGCTCTCAGTGCTGGGGAGCGACGTGCATCTCCGTGGGGAGGAACACGTGTATGGAGATGCCTCATTTTTGAGCGAGGGGCGGCAGCTAACCTGCTGGTTTGGGCCAGCCTGGGCAGGTTGTTCCTTCCCTCTCCCCCTCGTGAGCTCAGACGCCAGCGGGTGACTGTGCTGGCACCTTGGCACGTCTGGTGCTGAGGGGTTGGGGCGCCCGGGGGTGCAGGAGCAGCTCTCTGGGGGGTTGGGGCTGTGGGAGCGGACACTCACCTCTCCCTGCCCATCCCCGCTCCGCAGGGTGATGCCAGAAGGAGCCCGGCATGCCGTACTTGGATCGACAGAACCGTATCTGCGGGTTCCTGGACATCGAAGAAAATGAGACCTGCGGCAAGTTTCTGCGGAGGTATTTCATCCTGGACACCCAGGCCAACTGCCTCCTGTGGTACATGGACAACCCCCAGGTAGGCTCCCGCGCCGCTTCCCGCTCCGCACGTTCCATCCCTGGGGTTGTCAACGGCTCTATGGGCGCATCCCGGGCTCCCCGCGGGGCTGCCCCGGCGGAGGAGGATGCTGCCTGCTGCATCGCTTGTCTGTCAAGGGCTCCCGTGGCCATGACCAAGCTCCAGCAGAGCTGCGCTCGAGGAGCTGCCGCCCGGGCAGTTTGGAGCAGGGCCGAGGAGGGCAGGGGGCCGAGGAGGGCAGGGGGCCGAGGTGAGACCAGCACGGCTGGTCCCAGCTGCCCGTGGGTGCGAGGTGAACCGGGAGCGCCGAGCAGGGGAGCGGCCGAGGCCGCAGCCTCGAGTGAGGGCCTGGCTCCCCTCCTTTGCCCCGTCGTTTAACTCCCATTGCTCGTTAAATGTTTTGCAGAACCTGGCTATCGGTGCGGGTGCTGTCGGATCCCTGCAGCTGACCTACATCTCCAAGGTAATGGCGGGGTGGAGGGAGGATGGATGCTCCCTGTTGTCCCCTTTTCTCTGCGGGTCTCCCGGGAGGGGCGATGGCCCAGGAGGGTCTGTGGGAAGGGGGGAGCGTCCCTTCACCCGTGAAGCAGGCGGGCGGTGGGGTTGGGGCACGGGAGGAAGAGGAACTGCTCTGCCAGGAGGAAGGACGCGGCGCTGAGCGGGGACGGGAGTGCGGTGTTGGTATGACGGGGCGCGGAGCTGCGGTCGCCTCCACGTGCTGCAGCCCTGGCCCGCGCTGCCCCTCTTGCCCCAGCGCTCGGTCCCCAGGAACCCGGCGCGGTGCCTGCGGCTGCGGGTCCCTCTCGTCAGACCCTCTGATGATGGAGAGGCAGAGACGGGCCCGAGGTCCCTCTCATGATGGGTTTGGGGGCACCAGCAGCTCTCCCCTGCGCTTAGACGGCAGCACCCCACAGGATGAGACCTCCTGGAGACTCGGTCTTTGGTGTGTCTTAATGGCTTTATCTGGCTTCCACGGGAAGGCAAAGAGAGCCCAGTAAGTGGCAACCGTTGCAGGACTGGTGACTGGAATGTGTGGGGCCGTGGCTGGAGAGCGGAGCTGCCCCTCGGCTGCTGCTGGGGGCTGGGGGGCTCACAGCTGCTGCACTGGGCTCAGCCCTGGGTGGGAGCTGGATAAAGAATTGGACAGATCTCTCTGTTCCTGCTGAATCATGATTTATAAATTAAGCGCAGATGAAGCAATGCTGGGAGGTTGAGCCTTCCCCATTTCAGAAAGAGCCTCGCTTATAAATTATATATGTTTTAGTCTAAATGAAAATTGCTGTAGGACAGCATTTGGTCACAAGCTGCAGGACTGGGTTATGCCAGCGGCTTTAACTACCAACGGTAAATATGCCAGAAAAATGGAGGTTTGCTTGAGAAAACATATTTAAAACATTATAGTCTGGCTCTGAAGAAGGAAAGCCTCCTTCGGAATAAATACTCCATGAATGCTGTGCTTGGAGCCCCAGGGAATATTATTCTTATATAAATGATTCCTGCTCTTTAGGGAGAAACCACTGCTATTTTCCCTCGATTTTCTTAATTGCTGACAAGAGCAACTGTGTTAGTCCAGCAGAAACCCGGCGTTTTGGAGGCCTCTGACAGCTTTCCGTGCTCTGCTTCACAGTGCCGGGGGGCAGCGGGAGGTGGAAGCCCCATCCCCGCTCTGACCTTCCCCAGGACGGCGCGTTCGTGGCCGCGGGGGCTCGGCGTTAAGGGCTGGTACTGGCCGGGCTCCACCCGGGCTGCACGGGGAACCCGTTGGGAAGAACCGGGCTCTGCCCACCGGCCACATTCATTTTCCCCTGTCTGGAGCCAGCTCCCCGCCTCGTTTGCAGACGGGGGTAGTTGCAGGGTGGGGGGGACAGACGATGCCACCCTCGGGCCGGGTGGCTGCTGGGCACGGGGTGATGAGGCTCTGGGGTGCCAGCTCGCTCCTCCACCCTCCGCACATGCTGCGGTGTCGGAGGAACCGGGAGCGTGGACTGGGCTGGAGCTTGGGGAACAGCTCCAGCTCCCCTCCCTGTCTGTGCTGTTACCTTGATTTTTTTCTGTACTTTGCTCTGTTCCAGGTTAGCATCGCCACCCCGAAACAGAAGCCGAAAACTCCGTTCTGCTTTGGTGAGCGGGGGGGCCCCGGTGGGGTTCTGCTGCAGGAGGCTGCGGCTTCGGTGCCTCCCCCGTGACCCCCTCCACCCCGGACAGACCCTGCCTGCAGCGTCTTTGGGGTCGGGGAGGGAAGGGGACGCTGCCAGCACCTGGCACATCATGCCAGAGGACCAGCACAGGGCTAGTGTGAGTCACAGCCCCATGTGGTGGCCCTGACACTGTGACCCCGATGAGACACACAGGCAGAGCCTGGTGAGAAGGCCGGACCCTGGGGGTCCCCCCCGTGACAGCTTTTGCTCCTGAATCCTTCCCGTGGGTCCCGTTGTGCTGCGCTGCCTCGTCCAGCCCAGGGCTTTGCCCTGTCTGAGGCTGAGCTGCTGCTCCCGCCGGTGCAGGGAAAGGGGTTTCCTGTCCGGTTCCCCCACCCCAGATGGCCTCATCCTGACCCGCGCTGCCTCCGTGCCTCGTGTGTGAGCCCTGACCTCGGGTTTAAAGCAACAGAAATGGCACCACAAGCCCGTACTCATCCCAAGGCAGCAGTGTTGCCTTTGTGATACTTTAGGACAAGGGACTTGGCCCAGGACAAAGACCAGAGCTCACGGCGCATCCGCACGCAGGGCTTCGCACCAGCGCTTCGGGTGACGGTTAAAACCTGAACGCTGAGCGAAGGGAGTCCCCAGGGGCCCTCAAATGCCCCTTCAAGAGTCTAGATTAAGTCCTAGTTTAAGCCTGGCTTCAGCCCTGCCATCCCTAAGCTTGGGGCAAGGATGTGTTCAGCCTCTGTGTCCCCCTCCACGCCTCTCGGCCGCTTTTCCGTGTGAGAGGTTACGAGACTACTCTGCCAGTCGCTCTGGGCCTGGGAGATGAGATGCTGTCGTGCTGATTTATTGTTTAATTTGCTTTAGCAATGCTAAGGGCTGAGCGGGGTTCCCTAACTCTCCGTTCCCTTCTTTGACAGTCATCAATGCTCTATCCCAGCGCTATTTCCTACAAGCCAGCGACCAGAAGGACCTGCAGGACTGGGTGGAGGCGTTGAACCGGGCCAGTAAGATCACGGTAGGTGGCACAAGGTTCCTCGCTGGTGTTGCCGCATCCTGCCTTGATGCCACTCGCTGAGCTCCCAGCAGAGCTGTGCTTCCCTCCTGCTGTGCTCGCCCCCTCCTCCACCCCCCAGTGCCCCCCACCACCACTGCTCCTTGCCCGGCGTCCCTCTGCGAGGACGGAGCTGCGCAGTGACCCGTCTCAGGGGTCTGGCTCGGATGGGACGTTGCCTCCAGCATCCCCACGGATTCTCCTGGTTGGGATTTGTTTTGCTGCTGTTTGCTTCTGGGTCTTCACCCTCCCTGCCCGGCTGCACCCTGGGGAAGGTCCTGTGGGAGCCGTCCCCAGCCCCATGTCCCCATCTGCTCAGGGACTGCCGCTCCTGCTGGGGACGATGCTCCCTCTTTGTGCCCAGGTTTCCTTGGGCCGCTTGACTCTGTCCCCTCGGCACAGGTGAAGAGGCACAGGGAGATGTTCTCGCTTTCGGCAGCGTTTGACCCTGACCAGCCTCTGGCCTTTTCGGGGTCCCGCCGGGCTCCAGGGCATGGGGCGCGTCGCCTGTGCTCGCCGCAGGGGGACGGGGAGGATGGGGCAGAGAACCAGGTTCAGCTTCTGCTTCTCACAGTGACTTCTCTCTGTGCTCTTGGCAAATCAGTTCCTGTGTTTCCTCACCCTCCTGCTGTCCTCGCAGCCAAGCCCAGGGGCTGAGGGCAGGAGGTGTGTGACCGTCACCAGGGACTCTGCACCTTCCCCCCACGCTGCTGCCCGCACCCCCAGCGTTGTGAAACCCTTTCCTCCAACCGAGCAGCCTGTGCCGGCTCCTGGGCCTCACCCGCGGTGCCGGTCTCTGTGCAGGGCTGCACAGGAGCCTGGCGTGGTCACGCTCATGGCAGCAGCATCTCCGGAGCAGGAAACGATGGCACCTGAGCACGCTGCCCGCCGCTGCCTGCCCCTCTGCCCGCTGCTGCCCGACGCTGCCCACCCCGACAGCCATCACACCCGGGACTCTGTGCGGGCAGCGTGGCTCTGGGGTGACCAGGATCTCATCCCTGGCCCTTCCTCCTCTCCTACCTGTGGGTTTGTGAGGTCTCAGTGCAGACCTCTGCCCCCCCAGGACTTAAGCCAGGCCCCAGGTTAAGCGCGGGTCCAGCCGTCTGCCTCAGTAGGGATTTGAGAGCAGCTGGGAGCCGGTGCCTGCCGCGGTTTGCAGGGAGGGGGCCGTGGTGGGTCCCCCTGCGCTCCGGGGCGGGAGGCAGCGGGTGGGTTGGAGCCAGAGACCCTGATAAACGGCCTGGCAGGGCTGGAAGTGCAGACTGGGGGAGGAAAACTTGGAATCCACGCTGCAGCTCAGCCTCGTTAGAGGCAGATGAAAGCTCCTCATTAAGCCTGGCTGTAAGTAGAGCGGGGACAATTAAAGGACCAAGTGTCCCACAAACGCATGGGGCTGCAGAGACAAGTCACAGGCTCTTGTGAGCTGATGCTTAATTATTCACCACCTCTCATCTCCCATGTCAGTGCCTCTGCAACCCGCCCGGGTGGGGCCCACACCCTCCCTAATTGGGGTGGCTTGTTCATTTATTATTTTTTAAAGGGATATTGCCGCATTCAGGCTGGGAGGACAGAGATGCCTGTGCCCTTCACCCCTTTCCTTCTCCCACAGGTGCCAAAGGGCGGCAGCGTCCCACCGGCCGCGGAGATCACGAAGCCTCCCGTGGTGGCCCAGGCCCAGGAGAGGAAGCCCCAGGTGGCCTACAAAACCGAGATCATCGGGGGGGTGGTGGTCCACACACCCATCTCCATCAACCAGGTGAGCTGGCAGGATCCACACACCGCCCCAGATCCTGGGGGTAAAATTCCTGCGACATCAGCACCCCGCTTCGGTGTCCCCATTCCCCATGGTTTAAGAGCAGCACCCAAGGGGGATAAGCAGAAGAGGCAGCAGCTCTCTCCGTGCGTAGCTGGGCGAGGGCGTTCCCACCACAGCCCTGCACCTTGCTGCCGGGGCCCCTCCGCACCTGAGCTGGGCTTCGCGGGTCCCAGCCCGCAGGTTTTGTGCCTGGCCCCTGCCAGCAAGGGCAAGCGGCCTCCTGCCTCCACCTGGGTCTGCAAATCACTTGTTGCAAACGCTGCTCAGATTTCTGCTTCAGGAAGGGAGGGCACCGGGAAGGCGAGTGTCGGGGTGTTGTTCTTGCTTTAGCACCCTCCTGCCCCCGGCGTTCAGCAGTGCAGGGGGTGGAGAAATTCCATCAACACGCAGCAGCGATGGGCTCTGCCCTGCTCTAACCTGCGTGTGGGAGCAGCAGAGCTCGGGGACGTGGGTCCCGTGGGCTGGCGCGGGGGTCTGGGGGTCCAGGGAGGTCCATGGGGCTGGAGGCAGTTGCTGGTTTGGGCTGCTGGGGAGGCTGGTTTGCAGTTTCATTTCTGGAAACCGGCTTGGTGCCTGCAAACCCTTCCCACTCAGGGGTGTATAAATAGATGCACTTAGCACCCTGCAGCACCTCTCCTCTCCCTCGCTCTGAAGTGTGATGCGAGGAGGGGGTGTGAGGAGGAGGAGGAGGGTACGAACCTGCTCACCTCCATCCCGCACTGTCCACCCACACGTCTCGGGTCCAAACCCCCCGTCGAGGTGCTCGGGGCAGAGGGACCCCATGTTGCTGCCCCCAGAGGGCCCGATCCGTCCCGGTGGGGGTGGTCGACACCCCTTGCCGTGGCTCTGCACCCCCTTCCCTCGGCGCGTGGCCGCCGGCGTCTCCCACCTTCGGGTGCTCATCCTGCGCAGGTCTCGTTTCAGCTCTTATCGGTGGCAGCGCTAAAAATAGAGCAGAGAATTAGATCATTGCAGCCGTTTTTCACTGGCAGGGGCTTTAACGCTTCCCTGGCCGCGGGGTTTGTCAGGTGCAGGGGGGTTTGTTGGGGTTTGTCGGGGTGCAGAGCAGCGTGGGGGCTTCCAGCCGTCCCTCCCCGGTGCTGCTGCCCTGCGTGATGCCGCTGCCCCCCCGGCCCCGTGCGTGGGGTGGGGAAGGGCAGGGAGGGGAGGGGAGGGCTGTGCCTCCCCTCTTCGCTCCCTGTGTGTTGCACGGCTGGGGCAGCCTGTTTGCAAACAAGTGTCACCAACTGGCCCTGGGACTTCTCTTTTTTCGTTTCAGTGAGTTAAAGCTGCTCTTTCCCCCGACTCTGCCTCCCTCTCCTCCCCTGTCGCTGCCTCCCCAGAGCCCCGAGCTCCGTCCTCAGCCCTCGCCTAGTCTCTGTCTTTCACTGAGGGGGGTTTTCAGAGTTGGTGCATCAGCTGCCAGAAAATTTTCCGTGCTCTTGCCGCTTGCCCCGTGTGAAATGGCTATTTCTCCGCTGCAGCTTCCTGGGCGCGTCTGTGGTTTCCTGACGGTGCCCCAGCCGGCTGGTGCTGGCCCGCGCTCCGGCTGCGCCCCCAGACCCGACCCCCGGGGGTGATGCTCCCTGTGGCAGCAGTGTCCCCGTCTCTGGGTGAGGGAATGGGTGGCTTCCCCTCCCCTCCCCGGCTGGGCTGGGGCTCTGCTCCGCCACTCTCGGAGGGGACGGGCGGCGCTTTGGGGATGGGCAAATGTGTCCTGGAGGGACCCGAGTGGCCTCTCGAAGGTGCTGGAAGGAGCCGCGCGGGCAGGCTGCTGGGTAACCGCACCGACGTGGGTGCCAAATAAGGCTGGTGGTGGCCAGAGCCCCCCCGGCTGCCATGGCAATGCTCAAACCTCAGCGCCGAGCTGGAGGAAGGGGTTGGAGGGACGGGGGAAGGAGATGGGTGCAGATGTTTCATCTCACCCGTCCTCTGCACTGCCGAGGGGGGACGGAGGGAGGGAGCTGCCAGGGATGAGGCAGCGCAGAGGAGGGAGGGGGGCAAGCTGGGAGCGGGGCAGGGGGCACGTGGGCGCAGGGATGGGTGCTGGGTGCAGGGATGGGTGCTGGGTGCACGGCCACGTGCGCAGCCCAGCCGCACTCGTAGCAGCGAGAGTTGCGCTTGGGGAGAGACAACTCAGGGGCAGAGGAAGTACGTTTTTTGGTTGTTTTTTTTTTTTTTTTTCCTGAGCTCCAAACACGGCAGTCTCTTTTGGGAGAATTTGGCTGAGAAAATACAGAGTGGAGACTTATGGCTTTCCTGGGCAGTTTATTCCCCTGATAAGCCGCCTCAGGTTGGAAAGCATCTCTGCTTTCTCAGTTGAGTTCATCTGGCACCAGCTCCCAGCTGGTGGTTTTTGTTTTGTGTCCCTCTGCCAGCTGAAAGGGCTCCTTGTACCTTGAGTTTCCCCCGAGAAGGTCTGTGGTGCAGCCGGGGTTTGATAAACCAGGCAGATGAGGTCCAAGGTCCTTTAACTCCCCTGCTGCAGGGGATGTTCTTCAGCCCTCAGGTTGCTGTTCTGTAGCCTTTCCAATTTCTTAGGGTTGTTTT